GTCATGTGACAAGGGGTATTTAAGTGGAGGACAGAAGGTTGAATGTCAATCTAGGCCAGTCTCGCTACAGTGCAGTTTTCAACTGGTTATTTTGAAAGTTTGTTAATGCTTGATGTATAATACAGAGCGACACCCGCCACCTTCCCTTGGGCATGTTCGACAGTGCGACGGGTACAGGTTTCCAGGTATTTTTTGTCCCCAAAGGGTTTTTTATTCCTGTTTTTTCCTGGGCGGTCGGCATGCCAGTAACGGGGGTTTACCATTTTTGTCCATGTTTTTGTCAGTTATTTTTAATGTTTTAATGAGTAATGTCAGTGGTATTTGCCGAGCATCAATAGTCGATTTGTTTGCAGTCCATGCAGGTTATTTCTTCTCGCATTTAGTTTATTTCAATCTGAACACTACATGCAATGTAATGGCAGCCGTTTTTTAGTCGGCTTTATTCGTGTGTTTTGTTAAATAAATGGTTCGCCGGACCGACTGCACATACGTCGCCGCACCTGGCATGAACCTTACGTTATGTAAGTGTGTGTGTTGTACATTGTCGGATGTGACGAGTCTAGTAAAGACTGCACTATAGGTGCTATTCATGCATGAGGGCGCTGTTCATAGTTTGATGGGACGACGTCACAATGGGGTCGTGTGAATAAATTAACATAATTAATGACGTCACAATGGAATCGTGTGAATAAATTAGCATAATTGATGACATCACAATAGGATTTTGTGAATAATTTTGTCTAATCAATGACGTCACAAAATAATTTTCGGAGCGAACGATAGAGGGCGCCCATAACCAATGACGTCACGAAATATTTTTCTGAATGTATCGTAGAGGGCGCTCACAACCAAATGACGTCACGAACGAATTTCTAAACGAACTGTAGAGGGCGTTCACAACCATTGACGTCACGAAAGATTTTCTGAACGAGCGACAGAGGGCGCTCACACACACACAAATAAATACACGTAATTTTGAAAACTAAGGAATAGATTTGAATACGAGGTCGTGTCGAAGTCATCGTGAATACCTTTGCATAAATTACCATCAATTTTTTTT